CTCCAGACCAGCTGAATTGGAATCTTTGGGTATTGAGCCTAAGCAGTAGTTTTTTAAAAAAACAGCTCTCCATGTTGTTGTTTTAATGAGTGGTCAAGATTGAGAACCACTGGCTTGCGTGTAACTCTTCAGGGCTTCTAGAAACACATGCGTATTAGGAAGGAAGTGGGGGACTGGAGGCCCACGAGAGTGGGTGAACTCATAGTATTTTACACGCTGGAGGCTGGAACCACTTTCATGTAGATTCCATCCTCTCTCCACTCCTTATACTCTCCTACTGCTGAATCAATACAAGCTGAAGATGGTCCTGGGGAGTGGTATTGAGTAGCAAGTTAGAGGGTCAAAAATCGTGTTTTGTGACCCCCATGGACTGTAGCCCACCAGGCTCCTCTGTCCACGGTATTCCCCAGGTAAGAATACTGGAGTGGGTTGCCATGCCCTTCTCCAGGGGATCTTCCTGACCCAGGGATGGAGCCGGGGCCCCCTGCACTGCAGGCAGATTCTTTACCATCTGAGCCACTAGCAAATCCCATAGAGGACCGGAAGGGAGATTTAAAAAAAAAAAAAATCACTTATTCAAACAAAACACACATAGTTGGGGCCAGGCAGGCTAGGGCAGAGCTAGTTATATTTATTCAGCACAGCATAGTTGACAATATCATTTCATGATGCATCTTCTCATCAGGGTCCTCAGGCAAGCCTGTGTGGGCATTATCGCCTTCTGATGGATGAGGAAGCAGGGGGCTGGAGGAATCTGAGGGCAGGATCACGCAGCTCTTACGAGGCCAGGTAGAACCAGCACCTGTCTGGCTACCCCTTCCCGGGCCACACTGCTCTCCCACAGTGGTTTTACAAGGCCGGCTTTGATTTTAATTTGTTTTTGCTTCAGCTTATAAGTTCTTGCTTCTCTTGAATTCTCTATGAACATTTTCAACACTTTAGTCAAGAGAACTAACTAGTGAAAAACTGACCAGGTAAGATCGCCAAAGGAGCAAAGAACAACAAACAATCCACTTTTCTTATTCTCCCATTAATAAATGGTTTACATGAAAACTGTCTTATAAATTCCTGGTATTTCTTTCTTACAGCAATAGTTAGCATTTAAGAACATGCACTATATGCCACTTACTAGGCGTTATGAAAATTAATATATTTAGTCCTCTCAACCACTACGTGGCATAGGTACTATGATTGATCCCCATTTTACAGGTGGGGAAACTGAGGTCCAAAGAGCTTAGCCAGCTTACCTAACGTCACCCAGCTAGTGGATAGTAACGCTCAGATTGGAATCCAGTTTGAGACAAGAGCTCACAGACTTTATCTGTTATGCTCTGCTCACTCTTAGAACTACAGCCCTGCAGACCTGAGTTCCCAGTTTGCCTCTGGGCTCCTACCTTTTCTACCTGTTTCCTTACTAATCATTTGTGCTTAATGTCCTTTTATCATGCATTAGGTTTTGCTGCAAGGGCTTGGTAAATATTATCTCGTTTAATTCCTTAGCACTGGAGACTGGGTCCCGGGTAGCCTCTCCGAGGGAGGCTCCTCTCCAGCCCGTGGCTGTTCTGACTATCCCTGCTCTCTTGGCACGCGCCCTTGGCCTCTTCCCAAAGCTGCCAAAGACCCTGTAGATTTTGAAATTTCTTTGTCCCCGCTCTCCTCATGGTTAGAACCCTGCAAGCTCAGCTCTTCTTCCAGATTCTTAGCTACAGGTCACAGATCCCCCCTCCCCTTGCATTTCTCTTGCCTTCTGCCCACCACCTTCTCACGTCATCCAGGTGGATGTGCCAGTCCTCTCCACCTTTCTAATGCAGAAGTGACGTGTCTCCGTGTGACTGGGCTAAGGGAGGGGTTGCAGGATTTCATTCTGGGCCAAAGCAGTAGGATCCTTTCTGGCCAAACATGACTGATTACACATCAGATGAGCCATGACATCATGTGAGGGCTCACAGTCACATCCTGCCTTGGCCTTGTGGAGACCAAGTGGGCCTTCTTTCAGACTGCTCCCAAGGATTCACGTAGGGCCAGGCCACCTATACTAGCTGCTTTCACACTCAGTTCTTGTTTGGCTTGAGGACTTCTCCATCATTTTCTTCCATCTACAGCACCATTTCCTGGCTCTCCTTGTGGCTGAATCCTTTGTGGCTCCCAAGTCTCAGCTGTGCTCTCAGGATCTCACTGAGAACTTCCCTGATTGTGTGTCCAAAAGAAGTACCTCTTTGTCAGCCCTCACTCTCTCTCTTGATATCACCCTTATTTCCTCTCCTTAATGGTTTAGATAGTAAAGAATCTGCCTGCAATGCAGGAGAACCGGGTTCAATCCATGGGTCAGGAAGACCCCCTGGAGAAGGGAATGGCAACCTCCTCCAGTATTCTCGTTTGGAGAAGTCCATGAACAGAGGAGCCTGGGAGGCTATAATCCATGCAGTCACAAAGAGTGAGACACAACCGAGTGGCTAATACTTACACTATTTCATCTCCATACTCTTTAATCATCATGCTTATTCATTTACTTACTGTCTGTATTTTTCATGAAATGTGAGCTTGAGGAGGGCAAGGAGTTGTCTTTTTCACTCCCTGCTCTGCCAGGATCTTCTCGTAGCATGGTGCCGATCCCTGCAAGGTGCTGAGTGAAAGAAGTAAACACACCTGTCACTGAGGGTGGTGGTGGTGTAACTCATTTCCAGCATCCCACCCTGCCAGTGGCCTCTCCTCATTTACATTGGCCATATCTCTTTAAATCTGCACCTTCTCCGGGGTTTTGTTGCTATCATTTGCATGGACTGTATGACTCAGGTCCTGCCTGCTGCTTCTCAATTCATCGAGTTGAATGAAGTTAGTGAACACCATCTCTATAAATAAAATTAGAAAGTCAGTTTGGACTCTCGGTGAAGGGAGCAGATTGTCACTGAGGAGGGTGGATTCTTTGTTATGTCTCTTTGGGAATATGTTGGTCGAATGGAAGAGTCCCCGGAAGGCTTAAAGAGCTTAAATATATGTATACTGTGCTGTGTTATGTTGACTCTTTGTGACCCTATAGACTATAGTTTGCCAGGCTCCTCTGTCCATGGGGATTCTCTAGAGAAGAATACTGGAGTAGGTTGCCATTTCCTCTTCCAGGAGATCTTCCCAACCCAGGGATTGAACCCAGGTCTCCCGCACTGCAGGAGGACTCTTTACTATCTGAGCCACGAGGGAAGCCCTAAATATATATATAAAACTGAGCCAGGTGGCTCAGTGGTAAAGAATCTGCCCGCCAAGCCAGGAAATGCAAGAGATGCAGATTTGATGCCTGGGCCGGGGCGATTCCCTGGAGAAGGAAATGGCAACCCACTACATTATTCCTGCCTGGAGAATCCCCATTGACAGAGGAACCTGGCAGCCTACAGTCCATAGGGTCCGAAAGAGTTAGACATGACTTAGTGACTAAACCACCACTACCACCCTAGGCAGTATGCTGGGAATCAGTTCAGTTCAGTTTAGTCGCTCAGTCATGTCTGACTCTTTGCAACCCCATGGACTGCAGTACACCAGGCCTCCCTGTCCATCACCAACTTCCAAAGTCCACCCAAACTCTTGTCCATTGAGTCAGTGATGCTATCCAACCATCTCATTCTCTGTCATCCCCTTCTCCTCCTGCCCTCAATCTTTCCCAGCATCAGGGTCTTTTCAAATGAGTCAGCTCTTCGCATCAGGTGGCCAAAGTATTGGAGTTTCAGCTTCAACATCAGTCCTTCCAATGAACACCCAGGACT